TGGGTATGTGGTAGGCTCGTTATGTTCTAATAACATGAGTTCCTCATTCCCAGTGACGAGAAATCCATATCTCGTTGGCTCTTGGCGAACCCTGCTTGATCTCCGAGGTTCACTCGTCAAAGGTTGGGTCACAACCGGCAGTGAAACAGGTTGAACTTGCTTACTCGGCTCAGCGTCTACTTGCTGCTCTCGAACTTCCTCAAGTTCGATCCTACTCCCACTGACTCTTTTGGAGACGAACTCTCGCTCCATATAAGTCGCATTCCTGGCAATGAACACCTTGTTCTCTGCTGGAATGTAGAAGTAGTAACCTTTAGTTTCCTTAGGGTAGCCTACAAATAAACACTTGTCAGATTTGGAGGATAACTTATTAGTCATCTGACGCTTCACGTAAGCGTCGCAACCCCAAATTCTGACAAACGACAACGCGGGACGCTTCCCCGTCCATATCTCATATGGCGTCGTTTCAGCCGACTTCATTGGACTCCTATTCAGCAGGTATGCAGCGGTCACTAAAGCATAGCCCCAAAAGGACTTCGGAAGATCTGTCTGACTCATCATCGATCGAACCATGTCTAACAGTGTTCGGTTCCTCCGTTCAGACACGCCATTCCACTGTGGCGTTCCAGGAGGAGTTAATTGTGATACAATACCACAATCAACCAGATAGTCAGTGAACTCTTGGCTCATATACTCGCCACCATGATCTGATCGAAGTGTCTTGATCGTCTTGCCAAGCTGGTTCTGTACTTCGTTTCTGAAAGCCTTGAACATTTCAAGTGTTTCAGACTTATGTCTCATCAAATAGACATAACCGTATCGACTGAAATCATCAGTGAACGTAACAAAATACAGATAACCTCCTCTAGCTGGACAGCTCATTGATCCGCATACATCACTATGTATGAGAGCCAATAACTCCGTCGCTCTCTGTCCTTTCCCCTTGAAAGGATGCTTCGTCATCTTGCCCATCAAACAAGACTCGCAAGATTCAAGAGACTCAAAGTCAAATGAATCCAGAAGACCTTCAGAATGAAGCTTCTGAATGC